CATCAAGCTGAATGGGGTGACAGGGGAGGAGAGCTGAGGACAGAGACTGAGTATGGAGAAAAATTTGGATGGGCTTCAGGAGCAAGCAAGAGAGAGGGTAAGACAAGAAAATTGAGTGGGGCTGGAGGAGGCAGTGCCCTCACTCATGTCCCTTTGCTGGGGTTGCCCAGGGCCCAATCCTACCTCTATCTTAGTCCCTTCCCCTGGCACTTAGCAGCCATTATGGGGGAGCAGATTGCGGCCCCCTCCCCCTTGCTGGGAAGCAGGCACAGCTGGGGCCCGCTACATCTGCCGCATCAGCACGGAACACAGCTGGGTGTGCCCAGAGCCATGCTCCCCAAAACACAAAGGGGGTGGGAACCAAGGAGAGCCCAGACCCCTGAGATAGACACACTGACACCTCTGCCAACAGACACTCCTCAAAGTGAAGCAACACCCACCAACACACGCTCCCTCGTGTGCAGAGACTGAGAACTGGCAAACACGCAATTACCCAGCCCCGCCTGCCACCCCCGCTCCCCTCCCGCAGCCCCCTCTCTTTCCCTTCCTTCTCCCTAAGGCTGCTTTCTGTCGCCCAGGCCATCTCTGAATTGTCCTAGGCTAGGTCTGGGGGAGCAGGGGTTTCATTGGCACTAAGAACACCCTTCTACTAGGGCAAGGGACGGCAAGGAATGCCTCGGGGTCCTGAGGGCTCACCCTGAGAAGCAACTTACCCTTTTTCCAAGATTACACCCCTCCCCATAAGGAGGCCTACCCTCAGACAGGAGGGGTCTCCATGCCAGTGGACCACCAATGACCCATCCCTGTGGCTCGCCTGTGTTCCACCGGCCACCGCAAGGAGGCGCTGTGTGCTCTCAGCATCTCCAGACCTGTTCTGAGCAGCTCCAGGGGCCAGCCTCTGCCAAACCTATTATCCAGTGGTCCTCTACCCTCCTCAGTTCATCGCTTGGTTTAGCTCCGCCACCCCGGGCGTGTGTGGGGTGTAGGATTCTTTCCATGACAGAAAAGTCCTCCTTCCCAGAACGGATGATCAAGAGTTTCTTCTTTCTCCTTTCCTAGTTAATAGCCCCTGATTAAACCTGCCTCCTCGAAGATCTCATTTCCCTGCTCGTCTCCTTGGCCGGGCGTCTTGCCCTCAACTCTCCTCCCTGCCCCCTTCCATCATCCCACACGGCGCCCACCCCCCACTCCCCATGCCCCTCAGAGCTTTAATCCCTCCTGCTGCCGTGCTGCCTTATCTGCTCCCAGCAGCTTTGCTGCTGCAAAGCCCTCTCCCCCTCCTACTCGGGATCTTCTCTCTCTCCTTCCTGCTCTCTGCTCTCTGACCAGCGCCCCCTCCTGCCTAGCCTCTCTGTCACTCAGCCCCCTATCCCGGAGCTCCCTGGCTGGCACCAGATCTGTACTTGATGGCCCTCTCTCCAGCCTCAGCTTAGAATCTGTAGACTGCCCGCCCACTCCCACTCTTTTTTGTCTATCTCAAGCCTCTCCACTGACCCCGCAAACTTCGTGGGTTTCTGGCCGGTCAGGATTTGTATCTTCTTCCTGGCCTCCCTTTCCACATCCCCTCCCTAGCTCCTCCGGATTCCTCTAATCTTGAACCCCAACCTTTCCATTCCAGGTGAGCAGGGACCTTCTCTTGAGAATACCCAAATAGGGATAGATGGTGTGAGTGAAAAACAGAAGAGCACGCGCTTCCCTGGGATAGCCCAGTGGGGGTTCAGAGAGTACTGGTGACAATGGGGGCAGGGCCTGACGGTGGGACGCTAACCCTCTTCAGTTGCCTCAGATCACGTCCGGGCCTCCCCATCCCCCTTCGCCGGGACTCTCATTAACCGCTTCTCCTGCCTCGTCCGTGGCATAAATAACCCAGATAAATCAGC